CCATAGTGTATCATCTGCCAGATTAATTTTGCACAGTGCAAATTAATCTACATTTGTCACATGATTTTCGCGATACGTATAATCAATATCTGAAATACGTGACTAGAAATTATGCGTATTTTCTTTTTGTTGGCAAAATGGAGAATTATGAGCCCTTGGAAATAATTGGTACTGGTTCATTCGGGCTAATTCGTAAAGTAAGAAGAAAGTCCGATGGAAAGGTACGTTTTATGCCTAATATTTTATTTTGTCATTGTCCTAACGCGAAATAATTCCCTGATAGATACTGGCTCGTAAAGAGATCGATTATCGGTGTATGAGTGATAAAGAGAAACAACAACTCGTGTCAGAGGTCAATATTATTCGCGAACTTAAGCATCCAAATATTGTGAGATATTATGATCGATATTTGGATAATGAAAATTATATTATTTATATAATTATGGAATACTGTGAAGGCGGCGACCTTACTTCTCTAATTAAAAAGTGTAGAAGAGAAGGGTACATATACTTATATATAAATACATATATATATTTCCTGCTATCTAAATTCAGAATCTTCAATTGTTTGTTTGTTTTTCTCTACAATAAAGGAATTATCTACCAGAGGACAGCATCTGGTTTTTCTTTACCCAGATACTATCGGCACTTCATGAATGTCATTATGGTTATGGTAACAGCAAGAGTGACTCTTCGCAAACTAAACACACCACAATTCTTCATCGTGATATTAAGCCAGATAATGGTAAGGCGCCTTATGTTCGCGAATAAAAAGTATGATTATTTAACTGATTATTATAACGATGGTGATACAGCAAGAGGACTGATCATAATATATTGATATTAAAAATATTATGTGCCAAAGTTTTTTTGGATAGTAACAACAATATTAAATTGGGTGACTTCGGCTTGTCGAGGACCTTAAATCCAGAAAGGGAATTAGCACGGACGTATGTTGGTGTAAGTTCTTTTGTATTGGATTTTTCTTAATAAAATGCATTTACCCTATTAGTATATTGATCTTCCGCTTAAAACTTCATGACGATAGACTCCCTTTTATATGTCACCCGAATTAATAACCAAATCGCTTTACGATGTTAAATCAGACATATGGGCTCTTGGATGTTTACTGTACGAACTTTGTGCCTTGCAGTGAGTATTTGTTTATGGGTGATCTAATATATTAAGCATAAAGTGATATTTTATATATAATCTTATATTACCAAAGGCGCCCATTTCAAGCCATATCGCCAACAGAATTGGTATCTAAAGTTAGAAAGGGTAAAATTCCACCTATACCGTCACAATATTCGGAGGAATTGAATCGAGTCATCAAAGCGATGTTAGATGTTGATGTAAGATTTTTTACCGTGTAGCGAAAAATGATTAAATATGTGCTTAATGAAATCTTCGTTGCATATGCTTAATGCTCTATAGCCAGTTAACCGACCTAACACCACAGAATTTTTTAAACTAGAAAGGGTAAGAAATTGCAAAGAACAGATGGAGATGTTGAAATCGTTAGTATTATGTTCGTCGTCTTTTTACACTGAATTACTTTTATACAATAGTTTTTAATTTATTCATTTGATCCAGGAATTCTGATCTTAAACATCGCGAGGAAGAATTGAATTCTAGAATAAAACAGCGTGAAGAGGAACTAGGTTATAGAGAGGCAGCTTTGCACACACGCGAAATGTTACTGGTTAGTAAGGAGGAGGAATTGAGAAGTGGTTTCTCGGAACTTCAACTTCGAAAAGAGCAATTCGATGCAGAAATTAAACGTCACGCTGAAAATTTGAACGTGGAAATCGAACGTCAGAAGGAAGAATTGAGGATTGAATTTTTGGAACTTCAACGGAAAAGGGAAGAGATAAACAATGGCTTTTTGGAACTCGAAA